CCGACATCGGCTGGACGTCGGATATGCCCGCATGTTCCGACGTCCAGCCGAAGTCCAGCCGACGTCGAGCCGACGTCGGGCCGAGGTCGTTTGCCGAGGTTGACGAGATCGTTCGTCGTTGGACCGACGGGGCCGACGTCGGCATGTTTATTGGGACAACGCGCCAAAAATATCAACCGGCGGCGGGATTCGAGCCCCCCAGTCGCCGACGTCGGTATGTTTACTGGGACAACACGCCAAAAGCATCAGCCGGCGATGGGATTCGAACCCCGTGTCATTTGAACGCGAGGTCAGTGCGCTAACCACTACACCACGCAGGCAGATACCGACTTTCGTTTGTTTTGTTGGGTTATGCCCTTTCGGTCTGACAAGACCATTTCAGAGCCGGAAGGATGATAGGATGGAGACATTGGTCTTCTTGGCGAGCACCCTGGGTCCAGTTCATGTAGAGTCCCTGGTCCCATTGCTGTTACGTGACACTTGTTGGGAAGGGCGACCCCACAATGGATTCATATAGCCACTCTTAGACTTACACACCTGCACCAACGTTTCCCAAAGTGTCCCTTTGATAAGTGGCACTTTGGCAAAGTGACACTTGCCGACTGGCCTTTCTATATGAACTGGGCCCGGCCTTGGTGAGTTGCCGGGGCTGAGCCTGACCAAAGGATAGGCCGAGCAGCCCCCAAGCACTCACCGCACCCGGCTACGGGCGAGCTCGGCTTACGGGCAATCCCAAATGGGATAAAGTTTCCCGTCCAGTCCGGATCAGGGGGTTGCGGCGTGGAGGAAGATTTGAGTTTCCTGAGGATATTTTGAATACAGAAGCTCTTTATGAAACATGAAACATGTATTTTATATTATTTTAACGGTCAAAACAGCGGCCGATGTCGGTCCGACGTCGCCCCGACGTCGGCCCGACGTCGGCCCGACGTCGGCTGGACCTCAGCAATTGATCTCGGTCCGACGTCGGCCCGACGTCGGCTGGACCTCGGCTAGACGTCGGAACATGCGGGCATATCCGACATCCAGCCGACGTCGTGCCGAGGTTGGACCGACGTCGGGCCGACGTCGGCATGCCGATGCCGAGTTGCCGACGTCACCCCGACGTCGGCCGACGTCGGGCGGACGTCGGCATGTTTACTGAGTAAGCGGTTCCTTAAAATGTGTTAGGTACACAGATGTGGCCTGGGTAACCTCCAGTACCAAAGCTCGATTTATCAGGGCCCCCTGGTTGGCTGAAGAGCCAAGTCGCTGTTCGGGATGTGCAGATCGTTCCCAGCAAAGATCAGCAAAAATTGTCTCCCCGGCTCAGCGGAGGCCCCACCAGAACACGGGCCTGCTGCCGCCCCTGCGCGATTCACCGATGGTCGCAGACACAGCCCTGCGGCTAGACGCCGATAGAGTGGTCTCGCTCTGTGTGGGACAGAGCGTGGGAGTCGGCCAGTTCTGCCCCGCAACCAGCCGCCAGCGCCGGCGAGGTTAGGGGATACTGAGGTTGGTTGTAACAGATTTGAGAATAAATTGAGAACAAATTTGAGATTGATGCCTCTTTTTTGGCCAAGTTATAGCGAAAACACTGTTCAAAATGATGACGTCAAATTTTCAAACTCAATTATTAGCAATTTTCGACCTAGTAGCGCAAAACGAAGATCACCGTTAGACTCGTCGTGACGAGCTGCATCGAGTCGTTATCCATTTTATGCAACAATATCAACTTTAAAAGGTGACCAAATTTGACCTGACCTTGACCTGACCTTCACCAGAACATGACCTAAACTGTCCCCAAAGGTTGCCTGACCCACATATTCGCATTTAAGCTTAAGTTTAATATAGGGAGCAATGGTAGACAGGGTCCATTTGGTGCTCACTTCGAGCATTAACCCGCGCCCCACTGGGGTCTGCGTATAACACGCCCTACTGGGGGGGGGGGGGGGGGGCTCTCCATAGCCCCCTTCTAACTCCGAAACTACTGGGCCGATCGTCAAAATTCAAACGGCGTCTGATAGCCCCGGAAAAACTGTCGAGCGAAACCTAATTTTATTGACCTCGAGGTCACCGATGACGTCAGAGGTCAGGTCAAAGTAAAAATTATTAGCATTTTGCAAAATACCACCCCAAAGAGGTACATTTTCGGAATCAGCGCATCGAGGAGGCCCTGTATTACGATTTTTAGCCAAATCGAAAGACCCCGCCGTTTCCCGTTAAAATGTTAATTGGTCGTTAACTCGTTAACGGTGCAAAATACCACCCCAAAAAGGTACATTTTCGGAATCAGCGCATCGATGAGGCTCTGTATACCGATTTTTAGCCAAATCGAAATACCCCGCCGTTTCCCGTTAAAATGTTAATTGGTCGTTAACTCGTTAACGGTGCAAAATACCACCCCAAAGTGGTACATTTTCGGAATCAGCGCATCGAGGAGGCCCTGTATACCGATTTTCAGCCAAATCGAAAGACCCCGCCGTTTCCCGTTAAAATGTTAAATGGCCGTTAACTCGTTAACGGTGCAAAATACCACCCCAAAGAGGTACATTTTCGGAATCAGCGCATCGAGGAGGCCCTGTACACCGGTTTTCAGCCAAATCGGAAGACCCCGAAAATTTGCTGCTGAAATCGATATATGCTGCTGAAATGTTAACGGATCGTTAACTCGTTAACGATGCAAAATACCACCCCAAAGAGGCACATTGTTGAAATCAGCGCATCGAGAAAACCCTGTATACTGATTTTCAGCCAAATCGAAAGACCCCGCCGTTTCGCGTTTAAATGTTAATTGGTCGTTAACTCGTTAACGGTGCAAAATACCATCCCAAAGAGGTACATTTTCGGAATCAGCGCATCGAGAAGGCCCTGGACAACGATTTTCAGCCAAATCGAAAGACCCCGCTGTTTCCCGTTAAAATGTTAACTGGCCGTTAACTCGTTAACGGTGCAAAATACCACCCCAAAGAGGTACATTTTCGGAATCAACGCATCGAGGAGGCCCTGTATACCGATTTTCAGCCAAATCGAAAGACCCCGCTGTTTCCCGTTGAAATGTTAATTGGTCGTTAACTCGTTAACGGTGCAAAATACCACCCCAAAGAGGCACATTTTCGGAATCAGCGCATCAAGGAGGCCCTGTATACCGATTTTTAGCCAAATCGAAAGACCCCGCTGTTTCCCGTTAAAATGTTAAATGGTCGTTAACTCGTTAACGGTGCAAAATATTACCCCAAAGAGGTACATTTTCGGAATCAGCGCATCGAGGAGACCCTGTAAACCGATTTTAAGCAAAATCGAAAGACCCCGAAAATGTGCTGCTGAAATCGATATATGCTGCTGAAATGTTAACGGATCGTTAACTCGTTAACGATGCAAAATACCACCTCAAAGAGGTACATTTTCGGAATCAGCGCATCGAGAAGGCCCTGGACACCGATTTTCAACCAAATCGAAAGACCTTGCTGTTTCCCGTTAAAATGTTAACTGCCCGTTAACTCGTTAACGGTGCAAAATACCACCCCAAAGAGGTACATTTTCGGAATCAGGGCATCGAGGAGGCCCTGTATACCGATTTTCAGCCAAATCGAAAGACCCCGCTGTTTCCCGTTAAAATGTTATTTGGTCGTTAAGGGAGCAAAATACCACCCCAAAGAGGTACATTTTCGGAATCAGCGCATCAAGGAGGCCCTGTATTCCGATTTCTAGCCAATTCGAAAGACCCCGCCGTTTCCCGTTAAAATGTTAATTGGTCGTTAACTCGTTAACGGTGCAAAATACCACTTCAAAGAGGTACATTTTCGGAATCAGCGCATCGAGGAGGCCCTGTATACCGATTTTCAGCCAAATCGAAAGACCCCGCCGTTTCCCGTTAAAATGTTAATTGGTCGTTAACTCGTTAACGGTGCAAAATACCACCCCAAAGAGGTACATTTTTGGAATCAGCGCATCGAGGAGACCCTGTACACCGATTTTAAGCCAAATCGAAAGACCCCGAAAATTTGCTGCTGAAATCGATATATGCTGCTGAAATGTTAACGGATCGTTAACTCGTTAACGATGCAAAATACCACCTCAAAGAGGCACATTTTCGAAATCAGCACATCGAGAAGGCCCTGTATACTGATTTTCAGCCAAATCGAAAGATCCCGCTGTTTCCCGTTAAAATGTTAACTGGCCGTTAACTCGTTAACGGTGCAAAATACCACCCCAAAGAGGTACATTTTCGGAATCAGCGCATCAAGGAGGCCCTGTATACCGATTTTTAGCCAAATCGAAAGACCCCGCCGTTTCCCGTTAAAATGTTAATTGGTCGTTAACTCGTTAAGAGTGCAAAATACCACCCCAAAGAGGTACATTTTCAGAATCAGCGCATCGAGGAGGCCCTGTATACCGATTTTCAGCCAAATCGAAAGACCCCGCCGTTTCCCGTTAAAATGTTAAATGGCCGTTGACTCGTTAACGGTGCAAAATACCACCCCAAAGACGTACATTTTCGGAATCAGCGCATCGAGGAGGCCCTGTATACTGATTTTCAGCAAAATCGAAAGACCCCGCTGTTTCGCGTTAAAATGTTACCTGGCCGTTAACTTGTTAACGGTGCAAAATACCACCCCAAAGAGGTACATTTTCGGAATCAGCGCATCGAGGAGGCCCTGTATACCGATTTTCAGCCAAATCGAAAGACCCCGAAATATGCTGCTGTGAGGCTGATATTCGTTGCTGCTGAATTGATAGACGTATAATGTACGATTGACTTGAGATGTTACTGAAATCTGGCGCAGGAGGTTCATTTTAGTACCCCGTAACTTTTCAAGTAGTTTTCTACTAGCTGTATCATTTGAAGATTTATTGCGCATTTTCCTTTTTATTTTGCTTATTTTATTTTTAAATATATATGGAAGAATATTTAAAAATATATTTTGGGCAAAATAAAAAAAATTCGGCTGAAATAAAATGCATAAGAGCACGCTGATTGCTTGACCGCTAGGGCTGCCTTAAAATTTGTGGAAAGCACCAATTATGAGAAGTGAACTAACCTGAACTACAGCCTAGAAATATTCAAAATAGATTTTATTCATTGAGTCATTTTGAAGCTTATATTGAATGAATATAGTTGTTACCTATATTTCCACCATAATTGTGAAGTGGGACTCCTTTGTTTTGCTGGCATCGGTATTTGGATAGCAAATTGAGTGCGTTTGTTTGCTAAGACATGGCCAAGGCTATATAAACCATGGCATGAAGAGTAATTGATTTAAAGAATTTGCTGTAACAGGTAGGTGACTGTCCATGATTTCATATTTAAATTTTGATTTTACATCAATTCACATAACTGTAGTATCTTCTCATCTGCACAGGCTTCTTATTCATTTTAAGGGTGAAAAATGGGGTAAATGTGGGGCCTCAGTATTAACCTAATTCAGTCAGCTCAGTTGGGGATTAGGGGAAACTACGAGGAGCCAAACGAAAATTGGAATAGCCGATCAACGGATGGAGTGGGTGGGGCGATGACCATATATGGTCATAAAATCAGACAACTTCATCTTTTCAATGCATCCTAGCATTCAAATGTAAAAATAAGGCACAAGAATGTTCTTTAACCACACAAGGCCCACACTCACTCGGTGCACAATCAACTGGCGGCTCTAAGTCGAGTTACAACACAAGGTCAATCAGTGATTGGCAAATATGGCAGATTGAAACAGACGCGCCAAAAAATGTAAGCAGTACCGTGGTTTAAAAATATCATTGTTTTTATTATTTTGTTTATGGTTTTTCTAATCGTGGTTAAGTTATTGTTTTAAAATTAAATATCTTTGTTTATTGTAATCAAATTAAATCTTACCTTACCTTACCTTACCTTACGGTATATGGGTTGTGGGAGGCCAATTTGGCCTGTGGGGCCCGGTCTCAGCGAGCTCCCAGTGCTAATGGACAGTCAGCCTCAGGTTGGATAAGATCGGGTGACGGGTTCAGGTGGGAAGGCTCTGCATGATGTCAGCCCAGTGGGCATCCAGCCTGGTCTTGAATTGGTTGACTGACGTAGCTGATACGACTTCTTGCGGGAGAGCATCTTGCGGGTCTTATAACAATTTTCTTTCAAAACACCAATCCATTTATTGAATGGCCAGCTGATTGTGACGCCCAGAACCTGCAGAAAAGCCATTTTCCTATCGCCATTTTCGAGTCAATTCGCCGAATTTAATCAAATCACGCTAATTCCTAGTGGAAAATGTAAGCCTTTTCTCTCTGATAAGTGGACGCGATACTGCAAGTACCGGTTTGTTATACCGTTTTTTCACCCTTAGTAGCAGGGGCTGCATTTATGCCCATATATGGTCATCAACAGTCCATTTATTGACCCATCAATTTTTTTTATTTTCGCCTCGTAGTTTCCCCAACTGAGCTGGCTGGCTAGCTGGTGACGTAGGTATGATAGCTACCATGTTAATAAATATGAGCATGGTAATGAAACATAGCAAAAGCTAGCTAACCTAGCAATTAGCATGGCATAAGCTGGTATAATTAAACCCAATCTAACCAAATCTAGTCTAACAGTAACCCTAACTGAACCTACAATACTGTTACAGCAACTAGTGACATCACCAAATATATTGGCTAAGTACTTTTGGGCCAATTGCCTTATTATTCAAAGCCGATTGCATTAAGATGAAAATAACTTGAGGGAAGGCAGTACTGGTGGGGAGCTTGGCATGTAACTGATTTCCTTAAAAAATACTCTGTAACTTGTAAGTAATGATGGTTTCTCATGCTTCACCAACTTTAAAGTGAATGCTCTTTCATTTTGCCTATGGCCTATTAATGCAGGATTGCTGAGGTGATTTTCACACCTATATCCAAATCATTGTGCATATGCAAAGCAGTCAATAGATCTTATGACTAATTTGATTGATTTAGATTTGGGGTCAAAGGTTTACCATATGAAGACTTGCAAATGAGCTTTGTATATGAATATTAAGTTAGTGTTCACAGACTAGCCAAAGATCTGCAGATACCAAGAGATTTGCAGAGACAAAAATGCCATGGACAAAGATGCATCAAAGATTGATGCTTAGTAGATGAATAAATGCAAAATGAAAGAGGGATCAAAACTGAGGATAAAGATAGCCACAGACAAATAAATTTGATATGGTCATTGCTATGGTTTTGGTTATGGATGAAGATGTTGAAATGGACTGTGGAAAAAATTAAAAGTTTTCCCTCTAAGCCATGGCCAACAATGCTTTAGATTGTTCAATGGTCTTATAATATAATAAACAGTAGCCGGTAGGTGTAGTGTAGGTACCTGTCCTAAAGAGTTCAAATTGTGGTAACTCTTTGTTTTGAACAAACAGGCCTTAGCTATAGCCTGAATTCTGAAACTGAATCTGCCATCATCTGCACTGCAGGACCTCAACAGTTCAGATGTTCTGAACACTGTTACAAGCATTGTCTCACCAAGTGACCCTCCTTTTTTCAGGGAGCCTTTGGTACCTACCTGTGTTTCCATGCTGTCATCTCATCTATGTGCTCTTTCTCTGTTACAGTGGTGTGCTGCAGCCATGAGTCAGTTTGTGCCCAAGGAGCTGGTCTGGGTGAAGCTGGGTGGTGTCCAGTGGCCAGCCGTGGTCAAAGACAAGTCCGACCCAGAGTGTGAGGAGTTTCTAGAGGCGCTGAAACGAGACCCCATCGTGGTTGTCGAGTTCTTCGACAAAAAACTGTGAGTTCTTAGATAGCAATGTCATAAGAATAAAATGATAAAATGTTCCAGGGCACATATTTTCAGGACACTAGACTTCTGAGCCTAGTGCTGCATAAAGTCGCCTTAAAAGCAGTTATGTATACTGCTAAGTACTGACAGAATTTTCGTTGGATAGCTCGATCAAAAACATCGGTGTAGATACTCGAAATCTAACGGGATATTGTTCTGCTTTATTTTGCGTGATTTGCGTTGCAATCCAGTTGAATGGTATCATTAGATTTAGATAAAGTTGGAAAGTGTGATATTGCACGTCGTGGATATCTTACACACTCCGAACACCTCAAGCATCAGCTCTGGCACAATAAATGGGAAGTGTGGCTATGTTCTTATCAATCGATCTTTGTTTTCAGCCATGATGTGCACAACACAAATCAAATTTGTCGGTACAACTGCGAAGAAAAGGACGATATTGTTCTTAAAAGCTTACGTGAGTATGAATCCGTCGCAAACACGTAGGTAGTGATAGCATCGCAGTTATGCAGCGGTAATACTACAATAGTGCAATATGCTGTTGGTACAATATGCTGTACGTGGAATGTGAATCCTGGTGACGTTTTAAAGAGGCTACACGCCGTTCGTTTACCGGTTTACCGGTAAGTTTTGGCTTTGCATCGCATAAAATCATGCATATGGGTTAATCTACTTTCTGATGTGCTATCACGATTCATTGCGCCCTTTCAGAGCTGACCAGAAACAAGTCCGATATCGCTGAGGACTTTAAGAAGGATATAATCACGGCAGAAAAGCTAACCGATGGTGATATCCACATTCTGAGCCGGGAAAAGTTCAGCATGACTGGTCGTCAAAAGTACGACGAACTGTTCGGCTCAGGTCGAAAATCCAACACCTCCAAGCCCGGTGCCAAGCGGAAAATACCACGGACCAGTGAGAACTCTCCGAAACTGAAGACCTCCAAGTACTCTGATCTGTTTCCGGAGGTCTCCAAGAGCCGAAAGCCGGTATCGAAACCAAAGAAACCAGCCAAACCGGCGTCCGAGTCGCCGCGACCCATCACTCACCCTCGCTTCATCGCGGAGAACGACCACAAGATTCACATTCTGGCACCGGACAGTCCGGAAGCTCGCACGGTGGCGCCATCTCTCACCAACCCGTACCGCTGCTCTGAGTGCGGCTTCACCACCGGCCGTCTCAACGTTCTCGTGATTCACAACAAAAGCCACGTGGCAGCCGCTGCGGCTAAACCGGCCACGGCCAAGCGGAAAAACAACGCTGAACCGAGAGACTCCACCCCGAAAAAGAAGAAACGCCCTGCTGATGGAAGCACAGGAAAAGTCGTAAAAGCGAAGGTCGAACGAGGCGAAGGTACGCCCAAGAAGTTGGCGAAGCCATCGCCGAAGAAATCCGCACCGAGCACGCCGAAAAAGTCTCCGAAGAAGGAAGAGAAAGTCGAAGAGGTGAAGCCCAAGACGCCGGTGAAGCTGAGTCCGCTGAAGCCGGCGCAGTCGTCGCGGCCGCTGCTGCTCGAGGACTGGGACGAAGACGACGACGAGGAGGAAGCTGAACGAGCCAAGATCCGGTCGGAGATCGAGCGCTTCATCTGTGACAAGAAGACGCCGACGAAGATGGACGACGCCTCGGGGCCGTCAACCTCGTCGGGAGGATCACCAGCCGAAGTGTCCAACGACGACGCTGCGAAGCTGGGCGAGGACACCAAGGATGAGAGCGTTGATGTCGAGCCGTTTACGCTATCGGAAAATGATGCGGAACGGGTGGAAGAGACCGAGGCGGAGCGGGCGAAAGAGGCCGATGCCGAGCGGACGGACGAGACCGATGCTGAGCGCACGGACGAGGCTGAGCCGAGCGCGGCCGAGCCGCCGTCAGCCGACGACGAGGAAGCGGCCAAGAAGCAGGCTCAGCGTGAGCGAAACGACGCGCTGCTGCAGGCAGCCGTCGACGACGTACTGGCTGAGACGGCGCCGGTGGCGCTGCCTACCCTGCCGCCGGCGCCCGCCGACCAGGCCGCGCTGAGCACCTACGAGTTCACCGGTGCCGAGCCGGAGCCGGTGCCGGCGCGGCCACGGCCCGTGCGCGTCTGTCCGGCCGGCTCGCCACCACCGCGGGCCGCCGACGCGGTGGACGTGTCATCCAGCCGGCCAACACCGACCTCATCTGCCGACGGACCGCCCACCGCCACGGCCACCTCCAGCCTGCCGCCGAACCTGCAGATCCTCTCCGTGCCGGGCACGGACGGCCAGCCGGACACCTACGTCTTGGTGAGCGTCGACGAGCGCGGCAACGTGCAGACGGTGAACCCGCTGGAGAACCTGGGCGGCCTCGGCGCCGACACCCTGCTCGCCTATGAGGTGGCGCAGGAGGATGGCAGCACGCGCACGGCCTACCTGAACCCGGCCTCCCTGTCGACGAGCGCCGACATCAAACAGTTGCTCGGCGCGGACGAAAAGGTGGACTCGACCACCCAGCTGCCCGACAGCAGCGGAAAATAGCATCGCTGTCGATTGAAGAGGGACGGAGTGTTTGGTGGAACTTTATTGAAACACGAGATGTTTTATCGTGGAGTGGTTGTAGAAATTGTTGACGATGTTGGCCGTAGATTTTGACTCGTAGAGGACTCGCGGTATTGGTAGGAAATCATGATCATCGCCAATATGTGGTTGAGGAAGAATGTCATCGATATGCAAAGTCTATGTCGGCAGGTTGGATGATTTGTGTATGATAGTGTAGTAGAAGTTTCACGATGGCACTTGGGACGGACAGAATCGCGGCGATCGGGTTGGGGTCGCATTGATGCCAGTCATTTGGTCGGAGTGGACACACGACGCGGCTATCGCGTTGCATAAGGTCACGTAGAGACGCGTTATGTAAATGAATTGGCGGCGTGCGTGCGTCCGTGTCGAGGCTATCGGAGGTGGCAGGTTCAAATCAATGGCGTTACAATATTTTTATAGCATGTTTCTGTCGGGAGAAGTTTTGTGGGACGAGTTTCCACCGAGAAACTACTAACGACGTTGACACAGCGGATGTTTTGAGGCGATCATATTCTGCGGACTGGCGGGCGCCTTGAGTCGTTTTCATATTGAACCATAATCACACTGTTTCTGTGCTGCGGTGTCGTAGTGTTGCGTGTTGTGCGTCTCATACAAACTGTTGTGCTAAGCACGGTGTGTGAATCTATTCGCACTCTGCATGTTTCTGTTTTTATTTCGTCGAGCTCCCTGGTATCCAGCGAGAAGCGACCGCCGCGCGGGACGTTTGTGTAGTAATGTATTTCACAGGTCGTCCTTACCATACATATACAATATACATACGTTCACCATATTATTCATCACGCGTGACCGATGCGTCGGCCATGGAATTCGCCTCTCTGCCGACCGCGAGCGGGCCTCTCGACTCACGATTACGAACAGAACCTCCACTCGCACACGAGCGCGAACACCAGCGGACGGCACAGCGCGGCGGTCCGACATATTGCTGGCGGCCGCCGGCCCGGACTTGTACGCCCCCCCCCCCCAGTCACACCGGGCAGCACAGGGGAGCCGATCACCCATCAACGGGCCACCCACCGCGCCCGGCCCGCAGCGGGAAGGGTCGGGGCGATCCGAGCCAAGTTAAGCAGCCTGTAAGTCAGAGGGCGTGTGTCGCCATCATTGCGCAGTGCGCACCCATCCCTGTTTCTTCGGCACGACACGGGCGCAACCCGCACCGCGGCGGTGCGGTGGGCCCTGGCGGCGGTATCTGCTGATGAGCGACACCTGACGGAGGCCGTCCGGACTGTCACCTGTTGGTCATTTAACCGACAACGTCTCCTCTGCGGCTCCCGGCTCCATCACGCGCGATCGACTGCCATCGGAGCCAGACTCGTGCGGCACATCCAACCGCGAGACGGGCCACACCTTTGAGCGGCCGCCGACCGCACCCGACGCCGTCGAGCGCTGAGCCTCTCATCCCAGAGTCGCCTCTGGTTTCCGCAACGTGCTCCCGCAGTGCACCAATAATAGAATAGATGTGTGAATACATTGCCATAGCTAGTGAGTGGGTCGGAGCGGCGCTGGCCGCTCTCACAGGTGCTGCCGAGGCGGACCGATCGGCGCGGCAGCGGCGGCGTACCCGGCGAAATGGTGCTCGGCCGGCGGCGGGCCGGCGTAGTGGCCCCAGTGGGGCGGCGGCGCACCGCCCGGCGGGGGCAGCCTGCGGACACGGCGCACTGTCAGTTGGCTGGACACTGAAAGGGCACGTCATAGATACTGCAGATACACGAGTTAAGTAAAATGAGCAGTTACAAATGAGTTACAATACTAATGGCAGCAGAAGATATATTTGTGATACGAATTTACTTGCCTTAGCATGTAACGAAACTTTAGGCAAATAAATAGTGTACAGATTTGAGGCCCAAACGACATCAAGGTGGCATCGATGATAAAGATAACGGAAATGAGGCGGTTCCCAATTCCAAAGAAAAGTTTTTCCCGACCAACATTTTGTCGCGGCGAAAATGAAGAAAACGCAAACGCAATAGCGAGACCAGGTAGCGAGTTGAGTCACGAGTAGAACAATGCTGACAGCGTATGGCACAAATGATTAAAGACAGCAGAGGCAGTGTCAACATATCAGTAGGTGGAACTATGGTCATGAGTACCCAAATATAGGAACGTTCCCATTTTTGGGAACGGAGTTGCCAAATATGGGAACGGGCGTTCCCATTTATGAGAACGGAAGGTAATTTTTCGGCTGTTCGCCCACTAAAACTCATTAGTGCATCACGTCTCAAAAAAGTGCACGCTAATTTAAGTATCTACTAAGTCTCTATAAAATTATCTTTAATCTGACCGTTGAACAAGGAAATTGACCGTCGAATGATATTTTTAATGATTTTTTGAAATGACGGAATGGTGAAAACATGGGTTATACTACATTTAACTTGCAATTTTAAGGAAAATGAAGCGTTTTTTACATTTTGAGGTCAAGTATAATAATTTTCGCCTGGTTATGAAGTTTCATACTAGTGACACCAGATGCTGACATATGCAAGCGAACACGCGTACAGTCCCGGGGTAATATTGTTGACATTTGGTGTCGGGGCGCACGACCGCATGGAACGTCAGTGATTTTACCGAACTACTGTTGTAAACTCAGTTTCAGTGGTTTAAAATTATTCAGCTGTATTTTATCATCCCGGAAAGACATATTTTATTTGGATGCTAGCTGTTTAGAGTTGTTTTATAAGGAGCGTCATGAGCGTGGTTTTTGTCTTCCGTGTTTAGCGTAATCGTTTTGGGGGAATTTTTCTTATATAGGTCGCTCTGTGTGGCTTATCTATAATTTTTATGCTGATTTCGATCATTCCTCGTGCCCATCCTACCAGGCCTTTTGCCACTTACACTCATCAAGAAAGAAAAAAACTAGATTTTCATTGGGACTAGGTGTTTTGAGGGTGTAACATATTCAGCGTTCCCATTTTTGGATACTTCCTTGTGCTCGTCAACTATCGGTGATAAACAGACAGGTGCTTGACATGTCTCCACCCTCGGCGCGGACGGTGGATATAGGTATGGAAGACCTTGTTGAACATCGCTGAGCGTTGTGAATTACGTAATCCTGCAGAGGGGGGCGTGCCCGCTGCGAGATCGACGGGAATAAAAGCGCAGAAGACCGGGCGAAACATGCGACGGTCTGGCCGGAAAGGTCATCTGATGATTGTTGCGTTAACAATAATTTGCGGCGTTGGACGTGATGCTTGTTAATGTAAAGAGCCCCTGAAAGGCGTCGGTGAAATCGTTCCCAATTTTGGGTACGCCGTTCCCATAATAAGGAACGCTTGCAGCGCCAGTGTACGAGAGCGTTCCCAAATTTGGGCTCGCGGCCCGGATGATGGACTGCTTTAGAAATAGGGGAACGATTTGAAACTACGATGGGCCTTACAATATCAAACTCTTTCCCAACAATATTGAGACAAATATCAGGCGGTTCACGATCGTTTTATATTTTTTGGACGTCATTTAACGGTTCTTTTTCTTGTTTTAAATAATGCCTACATGGCGTTCCCATATTTGGGTTTATCGTTCCCAAACATGGGAACGAAAATGCGTTCCCGAAAATGGGTACGCTTGACCATAGTTCCGCCTATTGATATGGCATTCGATTGAACACACTATAACACAGAAGAAACTGAAACAAGCCAGCAGTAAACTGGGTAATGAGTATGCGATTTGACGCGTAGCCAATACTGCCGTACAAAGCTGAAAAAGCGTATCTCGCATTTAGCAAGTTTTACAGGAGAGCACTTTTTGTCTTTTGCTCAAATAACACTATGCAACAAAAAATGAAACATTTTCTGTTCCTGGAAAACGACCGAATTTTTCTTATTCATTGGGTCCTATTATAACCGAAATGGGCATTAGTTTTGATCTGAAAATGCTTTTCCGGTTTTCAGAGACGATTTTCGATTTTTGGCCCCGAAATTCGGTTTTTGGCCCACCGTGTCCGATGTAATTGAGTAATCGACTCGCGGTAACTTTCATCGCCTTTACTATGCCACAAGCTTTCGAATGATATCTGGTTTTGCATATTTACGTGCAAAAATAACGTCATAAATCTATGTTAAAGTAAGAGAATGTTGAAATTTTGTAAAAATTTGACATTTTTTTCGATTTCATTTCAAAATAGAGGAAAAACTAAAGGCCCTATCCAAATTCTGAGCCCAGTTCCTTGAAGAGCATTCAATTTCCGTTCGGAAGGTACCTTTTTAGTGCATTTTATCGGATTCCTGTGGCGTCCAGATTGAGTTAACCTAAACACATATCCTATGTCATATCACATAGCATTAACCTGATAACGTATGTTAACGCCATAGGATCAACGAGGGGTCAACTGAGGTCATGTTGTTGACCCCTTGTGACCTCGGGTCACACGCAGGAACTTACTTTTGAGCAGTCCTGTCGCTCAGAATCTTGATCTGTACCTCCATTTGTTAGAATGATTCTTCATGCACTGAACACATATTGTCATGGAAATGGCTGGGGGCCCGTTTTTCAAGTGACTCAATCTGGACGCCACAGTAAACCGATAAAATGCACTAAAATAGTACCTTCCGAACGGAAATTGAATGCTCTTCAAGGAACTGGGCTCAGAATTTGGATAGGGCCTTTAGTTTTTTCTCTATTTTGAAATGAAATCGAAAAAAATGTCAAATTTTTACAACATTTTAATATTTTCTTACTTTAACATAGATTTATGACGTTATTTTTACATGCAAATATGCAAAACCGGATATCATTCGAAAGCTTGTGGCATAGGAAGGGCGATGAAAGTTACCGCGAGTCGATTACTCAATTACACCGGACACAGTGGGCCAAAAACCGAATTTCGGGGCCAAAAATCGAAAATCGTCTCTGAAAACCGGAAAAGCATTTTCAGATCAAAACAAATGCCCATTTCGGTTATAATGGGACCCAATGAGTCCAAAAAAATCGGTCGTTACTCAGGAACAAAATGACTGTTGCATAGTGTAATTGAAAACCAAATCGCCAATCACCATAAAACTGATATCATGATATTCCTTGTTACATGACCAATCTGATCAGTGGCGTTATACATGAAAATTATATTGTTAATTTGATATAAACGTCGAAGAAAGTAGATACGCTTATTTCACCTTTGTTCGGCTGATGCCAATGGAGATACGCTTCAACCGTATGTACAAACAATGAGCGCATCTTCGTTTCTTGTCTTCGATACACGAAGCGTATCTACGCCGATTCTGTAAAATTCATTGAAAGTGCAATGAATAAAAAACGTATCTACGCAGATACGCTTTTCTGATGTGGCACAAAGGTATTCTGAATATCAGATACGTTTCTTCATTTTGTTTTTCTATGACCGGAAGTGAAACATTTGCGCTACCCAGGATTATTCTTGTCCTGAAAAATTGCTTATTGCAAATTTATACTTCCGTCAATATGTGTCATGTCAGCCTGATAGGCCACCGAAACAACAGCTTTCGAAAACATGTCCATGTATTTCACACGAAAGAGAAAAAATACAAAAAAAAAAACAGGTCCATGCAGTTCACACGGATTAAAACAATGCTGCTTGCACTAGAACCTTCAGGAAACCGTTCACTTTTTTTCACAGGGTTTGTGAGGTAACTGACCATGGATGTCCCCTTTTAGTGCTAATGACCTTCACGAAACAAAAACGGCTTTCTCCAAAGCATGTACATGAACACACCGATGGTACTAATGCATGCTCCAAGAAAAAGGTTTCTTTCGCCACATCCTATGCATGCGCATACTTTGTTCATCCAGTTAGGTCACGGCTCCCTGGTCGCGACTCGTCGCTCAGCTTTTTCCAGAAGTGCCTTTTGTGGAGAGGCATCAGGGGAAGCAGGGTCTGACAGATTTTGTCTGCCTTCTCCTTGTTCACTCCCCTCGGTCCACTCCTTCTCGCTGGAGCCACAGATGGATCGTACGTGGCTTTGACTATGTCAAAGCTGCGCCACTGTTCATCGCTGTGCGACGTCTTCATGTAGACCTTCTCGGTGCCTCTCCTCACCTGGACGACCCTCACGGTTCGTAGATTGGGTCGCAAACCCTCGCGTCCCAGGAGAGTCAGTTTCGATCTGCTGATTCCATCTTCGAAATCGAAGATGGAATGGCTCCGGCGGTGCCGAGTGCCGCGGTGCTGTAATATGCACCGGCGGGGCCGGGTCCTGCGGTGCCTGCAGTGCTGGCGGTGCCGGGTCCTGCGGTGCCGGGTCTTGCGATGCCGGCAGTGAGGACAGGACCGAGTCCTGCGGTGCCAGCGGGACCGGGTCTTGTGGTGAGGGCCTTGCCGGCGTGGCCGGGTTCTGCGGTGCCGGCGGTGCCGGGTCCCGCGGTGCCGGCTCCTGCCGTGCCGGCGGGGCCGGGTTCTGCGGTGCCGGCGGTGCCGGGTCCCGCGGTGCAGGCGGTGCCGGGTCCTGCGGTGTCGGTGGGGCCGGGTCCTGCCGTGCCGGCGGTGCCGGGTCTCGCGGTGCCGGCGGGGCCGGGTCCTGCGGTGCCGGCAGTGAGGGCGGTGCCTGGTTCTGCGGTGCCAGCGGTGCCGGATCCTGCGGTGCCGGCGGGGCCGGGTCCTGCGGTGCCGGTGGGGCCGGCTCCTGCCGTGCTGGCGGTGCCGTGTCTTGCGGTGCCGGCGGGGCCGGGTCCTGCGGTGCCGGTGGGCCCGGCTCCTGCCGTGCTGGCGGTGCCGGGTCTCGCGGGGCAGGCGGTGCCGGGTCCTGCGGTGCCGGCAGTGAGGAAGGTGCCGGGTTCTGCGGCGCCAGCGGTGCCGGGTCTCGCGGGGCAGGCGGTGCCGGGTTCTGCGGTGCTGGCGGTGCCGGGTCCTGCGGTGCCGGCGGTGCCGGGTCCTGCGGTGCCGGCAGTGAGGGCGGTGCCGGGTCCTGCGGTGCCAGCGGTGCCGGCGGTGCCGGGTTCTGCGGCGCTGGCGGTGCCAGGTCATGCGGTGCCGGGTCTCGCGGTGCCGGCGGGGCCGGGTCCTGCGGTGCCGGCGGGGCCGGGTCCTGCGGTGCCGGTGGGGCCGGGTCTCGCGGTGCCGGCGGGGCCGGGTCCTGCGGTGCCGGTGGGGCCGGGTCTCGCGGTGCCGGCGGGGCCGGGTCCTGCGGTGCCGGTGGGGCCGGGTCCTGCGGTGCCGGTGGGGCCGGGTCTCGCGGTGCCGGCGGGGCCGGGTTCTGCGGTGCCGGGTCCTGCCGTGCCGGTGGTGCCGGGTCCTGCGGTGCCGGCGGGGCCGGGTCCTGCGGTGCCGGTGGGGCCGGGTCCTGCCGTGCCGGCGGGGCCGGGTTCTGCGGTGCCGGCGGGGCCGGGTCCTGCGGTGCCGGCGGGGCCGGCACCTGCCGTGCTGGTGGTGCCGGGTCCTGCGGTGCCGGCAGTGAGGGCGGGACCGGGTCCTGTGGTGCTGGCGGTGCCGGGTCTCGCGGTGCCGGCGGGGCCTTGTTCTGCGGTGCCGGTGGGGCCGGGTCCTGCCGTGCCGGCGGGGCCGGGTTCTGCGGTGCCGGGTCCTGCCGTGCTGGCGGTGCCGGGTCCTGCGGTGCCGGTGGGGCCGGGTCCTGCCGTGCCGGCGGTGCCGGGTCCTGCGGTGCCAGCGGGGCCGGGTCCTGCGGTGCCGGCAGTGAGGGCGGGGCCGAGTCCTGCCGTGCCGGTGGGGCCGGGTCTTGCCGTGCCGGCGGTGCCGGGTCCTGCGGTGCCAGCGGGGCCGGGTCCTGCGGTGCCGGCAGTGAGGGCGGGACCGGGTCCTGCCGTGCCGGTGGGGCCGGGTTCTGCGGTGCCGGTCCTGGGCATCTTAGCGGAAGGCTCGTAGTCGGCTTCATCTAAGAAAAAAGCGGTACAAGGTTGTCAAAGACAGAAATGGTTTCGGATGCTGGAAGAACTCTCGTCAGCCCTGAATTTCAGATGAAAAAAGTTAAACATCGTTACGGAATGTCAATGTTTAGATTCAACTAACAATTAAAAGGTTGATTCCTAAAAATTCCGGCTTGCGTGCAGGTCCAGCAACTTACACCAGTCTCTGGGAATCATGGAGCATGGTACCATGTCTGCAATGCTATTCAACTACTTAGCACTGTCAAGTCCAGCATAACCCAGCCTGTGCGAGGAATAAGGTACAGCACAAGCCCTAATTGGGCAGGCGCAGTTAGTGAGGTTCCTATCCAAGTCCTGTGCCGAAACTACGAGTGTGGTATTCAGTTAAACACTTCTAATGTTTACTTTTAAATAAATAAGTTAAGTGTGCTTACCTTGAACGAGGGAAAGTGCAGCCTTGTGTCGTTCGCTGACCGAAATTGTTCCACTCCACGTACGCTTCAAATGCCTCATGGTAACTCTTGCGCCACCTTCAAGGGGTGTCGGACAGCGCAGCTGCGAAATCGGTACGAAATGCGATTCTCCCTTGCTTTGATCGTCCCACGTGACAAGCACATGCACCGGTCCATTTCGCCTCTTGCACTCAGCTCTGGGTATTAATTGGGACCGCTTTCTTCCAGTCATGGCCGCAGACACGCCCACACGGCGGCGCTAGGACGCCGACACCGCAGCGAGATTTAAATGTCCAGATTTAAAGATCCGGCGTGCACGCGCTGGCATTTCAATGTTTTATTGGCCTGATCTAATTACTAAAATGTTAATCCGATACGCTATGCCTACCGCACTAGCCCAAATTAATACAATTTATATTATTATTTAAGGGTAGATACTAGATATAAAATACTTAATTTTATTGAAGAATTAACGTACGGCAAGAAATCGCTAACTTAAAGCACGTCAACTTATGTTGTGTGATGAATTAATATAGAGATCCTCTGTAACGGAAGTTCGCGTTGATGAAAAGCGCATCATACCAAAGCTGTCGGCAAAACAAAGCAATAAAAGCGCAAGTACAGACATACGCTTTTTTCCCGTTGTTTTATCGTTCGGAACTATGCCGTCTAATAAGCGCATGTACGTTCCCCCAAAGGGACACAAAGCAAGAAAAGCGTATGTACGCACATACGCTTTTCTTCTTTGGGATAAACGTCCATTTTGATCATATGCGCGCTATTTTAGTGAGATACGCTTCTCTTCCTTGGTTCCTGCTGCTCCCATTTTGCATATACGCTTTTTGGATAATTATAAACCCAAAATTTGGGAAAATGTAGATTTTATTTTTTTTCTATAGGTATGTATGAGATAGAGCCAAAAATTCTGCATCTAATGATATAAAAAAATAAAATTCAGGAAAATGCGAGATACGCTTCTTCTCCTTTGGACGGCAGAATAAAGCACAATGAAAGCAACAAGCATAACAGTCTCCAACCGAGCCATTTCACGCAAACTCGGAACAGCACCGTCAACGAAAAAGCGAACGTAAAAGAAGCGAAGAGGGCATCCAGCAGATTAACAGACGCACTCACTGAGTCAGTAATACGCAGGTCGGTCTAATCCAGGGGGACTGAAACAGGGAGCGGCACACCAGCCACCATCAGGGAGCATACTGGACCGGACCAACCGTCTCAGGCAGGACAAACCACCACCACCACCACGCCGATTTTAGTCGCTAGCTCACAAACTATGAGTACTGAGTACAAATGCAGTGTGGCAATGACCGCATCGTAGTTCTAATATAATATCGTACATATTCAGGGCAGAATTTACAGCCATGATGCTAACAATCTTATCACGTTACTATGCTAACTTATGTCACTTACGGTCCTCCGGCGGCGGACGATTCGGGGTACGCTCCTCCCATGGAGCTCGGCGGGCCCATGGGTCCGTGGGGCCCGCCCGCCATGGAGCTGGGCGGCGCCATGGGTCCCGGCGGGCCGCCCATGTGTCCGTCCATGTGCGGCGGCGGCGGCGCCTGCGGGTAGCCGGCCATGTGGCCCGGCCTCGGCGGCATCATCGGGCCCGGGCCCGGGTACGGCTGGCGGGCGGACAGACGGGGCTGGTTAGGTCACGGGTTACGGCGGATAGGGGGGCTGGTTTGGGTATGACTGACGGCGGATGGACCGGCTAGTTAGTGTCACGGGTGAGGCATAAGTTGGGTCAAGCTGGGGTCATGTCATGGGTCACATCTGGGCGGCGCAGATGTGTTGGGCTGGGGTTACGGCTGAGATAGACGGCTGAGATAGACAGATGAGAAAAGCATTGGTCACGTGTCATGACAGTGGGACGGACAGACGAGCAGACAGATGTCTCACACATGCCACAGTGTATCATGCCCGGGGTAAAACAGCTCCGGAGAACAGGATTTCCGGCGCTCGACAGACTACACACGGCCTTCACTACTTCTGTTTACATTTAACGGTTCAGGCCCGCTAGCCTACTTTGTATGCTCGGAGCGATGGAGGAGTGCCGAGGTGCCTCGTAATACATCGATTAAATATCGTCCACAAAGCTGAGTGTGTGTGATGGCGCATCGTCAACGCACAGTTGATTAACGGCATGGAGCTGCACGGCGACTCAGCAGTTATAGCCAGTACGGCGGAGTACTGCATGGCGGCGATGGTCGTATGGCCTGGCACCCGGTGATGGTAACTGTCACAGCGACATTATACAGATGGCCCGGTACCGTCCTGATAAGATTACTGACTAAAATCAGTCGCGCCTTCATTTACATACTTCACAAAAGGTTGAGAAACAAAAGGGATACGTAGGATGCATGAAACAAACTAAAACGCTATCAAAAAGGCAATTGCCTACATGTTTTCAAGTTTCATGGGGCAAGGGGATGCATGCTTGGTGTCCTGGCCATAGCCACAGACTGCCGTTACCCACCAGTAAAAAATATCCATCAGTATGACTCTAATCTTTCACACCACACCACAGTACCCTCCTCCATCTCAGACTGACCTGCGGAGCGCCGTGCTGCGGCAGGCCGGGCGGCGCCGGCGGCATCCCGTAGAAGCCTCCTGGCGGCGGCGCGCCGCCCATCGGTCCCGGCTGGCCGTACTGTTTGACCAGGTGCGCCGGCGGCGGGCCGTAGTAGCCGGACACGGCCGGCGTGTCTCGCATCAGCTGGTGGTAGAGGTTGAGCGCGTCCACCAGGTCCGAGCTGATCTTGGTGAGCTGCGCGTGCCGCCGGTCGGTGCGCTCCAGCTCCTGGTCAATCAGCGGGCCCATCGCCAGACATTGCTCTGTGGACCGAGGCAGACGGGCGAGCGTTAGCGGACGGGACGCAGATGCTTGGGTAAGATGGCGGTGCAGGGGTTCAGCGTGGAAAGAGTAGATGACGTGATATTAAAATCACAGCACATCCCGCCCTTATGTGAACCTCCTGTGACGAGTGTAGATAGGCAAAATAACCACTGTCAATGAATTGAATTATGCAACAATGCACAATGCCAAACAACGATTTTTCCACAGCAGAGGGTAACGCACATCTAAAGCGGCTTGTGCCTGTATAACAATATTGGATTGGTTTGTCTCCCATTAACCGACCAATGCCTACAAGCGCCTCTGTCTAGTGCTCCAGCTATCTCGTCGTGCTTTAGATGTGCGTCGTGCCAGTTTGGGCCGTCTCACCCTCGAGCGCCAGCAGGTGGTCTGAGTCGGGCCGGTCGCCGGTCGGGTCCGCCTCGTTCAGCAGCTCCAGCAGCTCGGATATCTTGGCGCCGTCGATGGCCACCGGCTCGGCGGCGGCGCGCTCCACTGTGTTCACCTCCACCTCCTCGTTGAACTGGACAGACTTTCGCTGCTGACGCTCCTCCTCTGCACGGAACACGGGACGAGGAAAACATGTCACAATTACATACAGTGCAAGCAAACACAAGAGTGCGGATACACGTTACCCAGTTACCTAGTCTGATCTGTTGGAAGTGATTCCAACATTCCACTATCGGTTATAGTCAACACAGTAACATGTCTCGCCGACTGGTTGCAATGCTCTGACCAGCCTTTGTTGGAACCTGACACCCAGATGAACGAAAAGCTCCCACACCATCAACACCCCTCGGCCCCTCACCCCCCGCCAGTCCGAAGGACTCACTCCACTGCTCTGGCTCCTCGGAGAGGTCCGAGGTGACAAAGTTGGACGGGAAGAGGCCCTTGCCGCGGTGGTTGGAACCCAGCCACCAGTTGGGGTCGCTGTCCTCTGTTACAAGCACTGGCGGCACGGGAGGGGAGAGAGAATGTCAGACACGGTTGAGGAACGAGCTCAACTGCAGAATAAATGGATGTAGCATACATGTAAAATCGCAGTCATAACTGAACACAACGTGCTGTTAAAAGTGGATATTTTGGGGTTCGGTATCGTCCATTTGAAGTTACAGACTGTAAAATAAAAAAAAAAATATCACAATGTTTATTACGAAAACACCAATAAAAGCCTTCCAAGCTCATCCCAGCCAAACCAGCCCGCATCATTAGCCCCGTATTTGGAGCTCGGTACACGTCACAGACTATCCTGTCACTGGCCACCGATAAAGGCCAGCCGTGTACACGACCAGTCGTAACAGCAGACCTCGTCGCCGTGTTATCGAAATGCCAGTGTACTGATAAAGGCAGATAAAGACAGCGTTGCCAATGGCAAGAGCGGTATCATAAAATTATCGGCCAAACGTGATTCCATGTTGCGGGTTTACACATTGGTACTGTTTGTTGAATCGTTGTTGGCCGGAATTCCCGACAGGCACGTTTCGAGATGTCATTGGTGATAGCCGAAGTACGGCGGTTCAAATATCAAATTTTGACGTATGACCGACCCTGCTCGTGAGTAGCAACGCTGTTCTGAAATCGGCTGGTGATATACAAAACACATTTCAGCTAAAATTCCTGCTACTACATTGTAGTCATGTGGCACGGTGACCCACATTAGCAAACAAAAAGCTCAAATCACCCACACATTCACCTGAGCCCCAACTCCCATCTCGCCCCGACTCACCGATCTCCCCAGCCTTGAAGGTGAGTTCGTTGTCCTCGGCCGCCTCGAAGTCATACAGGGCCCGCACCTTCCGCTCGGGTTTAGCGGCAGCGGCGGCGCCGGCGCCGGCGCCTCCGGCAGTCCCACCGGACGATGAGGAGGACGGTCCCGGGGAGCTGAGCACGCTCTGTGCCGACGGGTACAGGCTGGAGGAGCGCGGCGCCTTCTCCGCCTCCTTCATCGACAGGGCGATGGCTGGAAACGGGAGGTGATGTGAGGGATGAAATATCGAGAGCCATGGATGGAAACGGGAGGACTGAGGTGAGGGACTGAATATTGACAGCACGATGGCTGAAAACGGTAGACAAACTATGGATATCACCGGTGAAGGTTTTGTGGTAAGGCATATTGGCGATGGTGAAGATAAAAAGGCTGCCAGTAGAAAGTAGACACGATACCTATTACCTATGTATATGAGACGACCAATGCCACATGATGAAAACAGATGACAAAATAAAACCATCAATCAACACCAAATAGATCCGATAAGAAAAACAACAAAAACATGATGGCTCATTCAACAGATAACGTCTTTATGCCATTCACTGAAGCGTGGCGCCAGCATAGCATCGAGCCACAAAAAAAAAAATGCCGTGCGAGTCACTGATTGCGTAACTGTGACGCGTTAGATGACTCAGGATAGTTGTGACGTCAGACGTGGGACCCATGAGTCAGAACTGTTACACACAACACCGGTGATGAGCGCGACACAGAGGTAGGTATGGGGCCATCGGGGGATGACTTGCGAATTCGGGCGCTGCGGCGCATACAGCATGTAACTAAGCTCAAGGACAGGGATAGCGAATGGGAGGTGGATGTATAAAATGTACGCAAGACACCAGAATCAATGAACGGCAGATAGAGCGTATCAGTCATCAAAAGTGGTATATCGTTTCACCCTTAGTAAATAAAAACTGCCCCGTCGTATCGTATTTAACAAACCTTATGGGTGTATCTCGGTACAATAGGTAGTATATTTTCAGTGACGTCCAAACATAATATTTTGGTTTTTATACGTCTTCCACGGATGGGCATCCCAATAACCATCGATATAATTGTGAAAACCGCTAGCTACGTTCCCGTTCTACGGGCGTACTCCGTCTGTGTCACATCTCACCTTTGGCGATATCGTCTTCCTCCTGCTGTGAGCTGACCACATTCGGGTCTCGGCTGGCGGCCGCGGCGGCCTTCTTTGGCGGCGCCTCGTGGTCGGCCAGTCGGGCGTACAGTCCCTCGTCCTGTAGCGACCGGTACAGGCTCGGGATGAGCGAGAGCTGTGAGTCCGAGCGGAACTCGGTCTCGGCCCACTTCTGCAGCGACTGTAAGATGGAATAAGGGGAGAGGAGCGGGTCAGAGGAGCCGGAGAGGCGGGTTATCGAGGGGTCAATGACGACGAAAGTTCCGGTTCGTAGAGTTAACGGAGTTTAACAGAGCATCACGGATAGAGATTACAGCACGGCCACTGGTTCGATGTCTTTCCCTTTTAGCAATATCTTCTCCCCAATCCCGATTTCAAGCTCCTTTAGGTGCACTATGCAGCCCGCTTCCACCGATCCTGTTGGGGAGTGGGAGGGGGCCGTCTAATTGTCGAACACTTGGGTGTTCAGCATCGCTTCTGACAAAGACACGCTACTGAAAATCACGTCCACCAGAAGATACTTACGGCCAACAGTCGGGAGGAAACGCGCTTGTGGGTGTTTGGGTTGAACACGTGCTTCTTGAATTCCTGCTCGAACTCGCGGCTGGCCACCTCCAGGTGAAAGTGTTTCCCACTGTTGTTCACACAGGCATCCAACAGCTGTCGGCATGGCAACGGGAAATGTCTGCATCTCAGATTTTTCCATGAGAGCCTAATGTTACAACAAAACACTTGCTAATTTGCGATCCACTGAATCACGCATACAGGAATCCCACCACCCTTCAGGTAAGTATCCCGTAGATATTCCACAAGCCCCGGTAGGTACCCCACAAGCCCCGGTAGGTACCCCGCAAGCCCCGGTAGGTACCCCACAAGCCCCGGTAGGTATCCCACCGAGCCCCACTAGGTACCCCACCGAGCCCCGGTCGGCGTCTCTCCGCGCCGCGCCGCCGGACTCACGGTGATGGTCTGCAGCTGGACGTGCGGGTTACGGTGGTTCAGCTGACGGATGATGGAGCGCATGGCGTCCTTTGGATTGGCCGCCGCCCGGTCGCACAGGTCCATGATCAGACCCCAGTCCTCCGTGGTGTTCTTCTCGTCCGTGACACGATCTGAAATCCGAAAACGTGAAAGGCTTTAGAAAAAAGGCATTTGCTTAGGAAAGGCAAGGACATTCACTTTAGAAAGGCAGTAAAAAGGCAATAAAAATAAAATGTACCATTTTTTCACACATGATAGTGCACTTATACTGATACTCATAATTTTTGCACCAATGCCCTGTCTCATTTCATGGACTAAACCTTTTTCACCAATCAATTTTCAGTTTGATACAAAATGAGCCACTATGTCCTGGAGGCTTTACGGATGGCCATCTCACCCCAGCCACATAGCAGGCTCAGTAACATCTGACTGCTCCATGGATGCTTCAAAAAACTAGTTGGATTAGGTACCATCAGATGCCACAATAGCCCAACTGTGTAATTCTTTTGGCTGAACACCATACATATGGTTAACTGTATTAAATTAGGCAGACATAATCTATATGAAACTTTCAGTACCAATATCAGCTGCTATTTGTATTAGGGTAGACCGGGGCAAGTCGCCCCGCCGAGGTAAAACGCCTCACCGATGTTTCTCGGAACTGGCAAGGTTATGGGGAAACATCCTCTCTTCTATAAAACGTGCACTATACGATCATTATATGATCAGACTGGAAATAAATTGTGATGACTCTTTAGGGAGATAGTATTGACAATTGCTGACAACTCCACATCACTCATTGTGATATAGCCAAAAACGTGTTTTTCGAGTGATTTTTATGTTTTGTAGTCAGATTATGCATCATGGCGTTCTTTTATCGTCCACATCAGGTTAACGACTTTCATGTATTTTGAACAACTATTGTCTAACGCTTATAATGCCGGGTTGGTTCGTGTTAAATTATGTCTTCCTGGAGTGCAAGGCGTTGTTCTCTGACCGAACTACGTAATGGGGTAAAACGCCCCAGTAGGTCGCGGGGCAAAAAGCCCCATGGGGCGTTTTACCTCGTGTGTTGTTCGGACTACCCACTTCCTAATGTTCGGTAGCTGGCGAACGGTATGTTTCTATGCATTTATATGTACTTTTCTCAGCAACTGGATGGCAAAGGAAGTATTTTGTTAACATTTGCATTGCAATAATTTATTATTTGGCCTTATGAGGCAGGTGAAAAACCTGCTCATACAATAGTGCCGTAGCTGAACACCTGATAGGATGGAAGGTGCTAACTTCAGTGCCAGGCCTCCCAAGGTCTAACGGACCTTTCATATAAGATTTAGTCAACTAGCATGTTTAATCTTTAATCTAGAGTATGGGGCTTCTTGCCCCAGGCCGTGGGGCGTTTTGCCCTGGGGTTGGGGCAAAACGCCCTATTTGCAGTTGCCTCACAAACCACTTCCTAGCTGGGAGTCCGATCATAAGTGAATGAATTTGAGGGGTGGAATTTAAAGTAAAATGTCCAAAGAACGCATTGAGCACAAATCTGGCCTTCCAGGTTATGTGGGACAAAAGTTATGCAGCAAAATAAATTATCTGGGGCGTCTTGCCCCAGGTTACCCTATTGATCAGATTCATACCATAAACCATAGGCCACTTGAGGTGCTTATTATCTGATCTTCCTGCTCACAACATACAGGTTTCATTAAAGGAAATAGTTCACTTTTAACATGGGGTTTTGAGCTGGAATAGCAGTTTCGTAGCTTGAGCTGAGACTAGCACAAATCAGGAGCTTTTACGGCTCAACGATCACCCTAGACGAAGAAATTCCATTTCTCGTTCCGAAAAGAGTGCCTTGTAGAGGAATGCGTGCCTTGCACAGGAATGCAGCCACGTCATCGTCAGCCAATCAGCGTGCTGCTTACAGCCAATGCAGTATTCGTAGGTTTGAGCTACGCAGTATGATTGGTCAATGCGTAATAAGCTTCCGCGTCAAACATTATTTTACATAGAATATAGTTCGCCCTATATTAAAATAAAGAAAATAATTGTTTTTACAAAAAGGTTTTATTTTATTTCATGATTATTTTGAGCATAAAAAATCATAAATCAATAGCAAAATACTGATTTCAGGAAAGTGGACTGTTTCCTTTAACTTGTCAGCTGTTATTTAAATGGTTTTCTTACTCATGCACTGGCGGATCCAGGCTTGCGTTTTGGGGGGGGGGGGCAACTCATGCAGGAGCCAAACCCAGGGTACCCCCAAATCCTGTTTTCTCATCGGATTTAGGCCACTTATTTTTCATCACAGCCCTGACACTATGAATATTTTAACTACAAAAAATATATAAATGGTAGCCCACCAAACCCATGCCTTTATATTACTTTGTAAACACTTACCATTGCTTTTGTCGACCAGTTAACCCGCTTCGAGTCAGTGCTTGGGTCCCTTTGCGGGCCGGGAGGTGGTAAAACACCCCGTCTAACTCGGCTCCTGGGCCACGCACTGATTGAACTATGTTTCATTATTGTTTGGGGGAGGGGGCAAACGGGCCACTTTAGGCCTCTGGGAAGGGGACATGGCCCTAAATGCCCCCTCCCTGGATCCGCCAGTGTAAGAGACCATTGGAGCTGCAGTTGGGTACCTCAGACGTCAGAGTACGCCCTCAGATGTATAGGACTCGCATGGAGACCTCTTATGCTATAGTGGACTGAAAGGACCCAAAGGAGCCTGTCTAGGGCTCCCGGAGATAGACGTGGGCCCTCAGGAGCCTGCCAGAGCCCCCAATGAGGGATAAGTGAGGGATACCAAGTGCCTGCAATTGCATATTGCATAAGCCATAACGCCTTTACAAATCAATATATATTATGTATCAGTGGCAGATCCAAGGGGGGCCACATGGGTCATGACCCCCCTTGGTACGCCCGGGGGAACCACAGGCCTGTCAGGGGCACCACCGGCCTAGCAGGGGCACCACCAGCCCGCCAGGGGCACCACAGGCCTAGCAAGGGCACCACGGGCCTGTGAGGGGCCCCACAGGCTTGTCAGGGGCACCCCAGGTCTGTCAGAGACACCAGAGACCTGCCAGGGGCGCCGCCGGCCTCGCAGGGGCACCATGGGCCAGTCAGGGGCACCTTGGGCCTGTCAGGGGCACCACAGTCCTGCCAGGGCCCAGGGGCACCACAGGCCTGCCAGGGGCACCACCGGTCTAGCAGGGGCACCGCCGGCCTCGCAGGCATCACGGCATCACGCAGGGGCACCTTGAGCCTGTCGGGGGCATCACGGGCCTGTTGGGGGCACTTAAGGCTTGTCAGGGGCACCACAGTCCTGTCAGGTCCCAGGGGCATCAGCAGCCTAGCAGGGGCACCCTAGGCCCGCCAGAGGCACCACAGGCCTGCCAGGGTCCAGGGGCACCACAGGCCTAGCAAGGGCACCACGGGCCTGTCAGGGGCACCTCATGCTCCCGTGCCCCCGGATCCGCCAGTGATGCCACACCACGCGAAACACCGCCAACTACCAGCTGCCGCGCCATAAACACGTGCCAACAACAGTCTTTTTTTTTAAAGGTCGACTCCGCTCGCGCAACTTTTGACTGACCCTCACTGCTACCATATTGCTTCCATATTATGCTGTGGAAAGCTTTACTTCACCAAGTGACTAAAAACCTCTATCAAGGTATATTTTCTTAGCAATTTTTCTGACGTTTTGGGGGGGGGGGGGGCAAACAGGCCACTTTAGGCCTTTGGAGGGGGGGGGGACCATGGCCCCAGTGGCCCCCCTGGATCCGCCAGTGTACTCATGTAATGGTGTTGCCAGTTCAGACAAAGTTACAATGATACCATTGAACTAAAGCAGTTTTCTCAGAACCAATTATAATCCAAAACTCAGAAATAGACTGAATGAAAGTGGAAATGTGAGGTTTTAACTACCTACTATCAGTTAGATGAGCAGATAGTAGTTTTAAATGGACTTCTGATTAAAGGCATTTTACCTTTCAATGAAAACTGATATATTTAGTTAAAAATAACAGTTTGAGTCTTTTTTAGTCTGTTGTTCACACATTTACAGCAATCATTCATGAAATCAAATAGGCATAAAAAGGAAAAAAATTGAAAGTTATAATAGGATGTCATTCCAATGGAACAGATAACAAACAAATTATCAAAAATTATGTCAGAACATCTCAAACTACCTAATGTAGACATAAAAAAGTTATTGTTGAAGTAAATTCTACTGCTTTTATTGGCCAAGGCAGGGATAGTAGCCAGTAAATAGGAAGCTGATATAAACTAAGCTTTCTGAAAGTATTGCTTAATGGAACACTAAATTCAGCCACTACACTAATTGCTGGAAAGTCCAATGTTAAAGGAAACAGTCCACTTTCCTGAAATCAGTATTTTGCTATTGATTTATGATTTTTTATGCTCAAAATAATCATGAACTAAAATAAAACCTTTTTGTAAAAACAATTATTTTCTATATTTTAATATAGGACGAACTATATTATATGTAAAATAATGTTTGACGCGGAAGCTTATTACGCATTGACCAATCATATTGCGTAGCTCAAACCTACGCATACTGCATTGGCTGTAAGCAGCACGCTGATTGGCTGACGATGACGTGGCTGGATTCCTGTGCAAGGCACGCATTCCTCTACAAGGCACTCTTTTCGGAACGAGAAATGGAATATCTTCGTCTAGGGTGATCGTTGAGCCGTAAAAGCTCCTGATTTGTGCTAGTCTCAGCTCAAGCTACGAAACTGCTATTCCAGCTCAAAACCCCATGTTAAAAGTGAACTATTTCCTTTAATCCATGCATGGTACTTTGAAATGATACATCCTCTGCATTACAGGTCTTTTATATGGTTATCATTTGATTTAATGGGTAGACCTAAAAGTGTCCATATTACCACCAGCTTGGTCATTTTCCATGTTCATTTAATGTTACAAAATATCAAACATTATGATTTAACTCCACAAGTAAAAACAAGACCGACTGAGCACTTCAACACAAGGAAGCAGCAGCCTCAAAACGTACACAGAACTTACCAACATCATTGTCGAATGGTGAGCTGGTTGAGAAGATCCCCATGATGCCTACAGTATTTTGTAACACTGGAGGCCTGTAGTAGATCACTAGGTCCTCACAACTTTGCTGATCACCATGAACAATGATGCATCGGTCCACTGTCCACCAAAAGTCTCAACTCCTGAAACACAAAGAACAGGGGAAGGGGAAAGTCCCATTTCTGTCCAATAATATTTTCTTTCCAGGAAAGAAGAAGACATTGAAATGCCACTGATCGGAAATCACCCAGGTCCCTCAGGACCTTTCTTTTCCGTATATACCTAACCTAACCTAACCTAACGAAAGTGAAAAGGTGCTATAACGAAGGAGCTTTGTAGAAAAATAAATAAGATAAAAGCGCCTTGTCTGAGCTGAAAGGATGCATGATTTAACAATAGAAACTAGGCTGACAAGCAGTTTTGGTTTAGGGCAAAATATACGTCAAACAAGTGCTACCTCAACCTACCTACCTATCCGTCTTGGCTTGATTGTGATTCCAATTTCCAATGGTCAGGGACTACCACCTCAAACTGCAAAACAATGCAAATATCAAAAACGAAATGAAACAGCTCGCAATAACCCAAGAAAAAGGACTTGGAATCACTTGAACCATCAGACTACCCACTAAAAAGGAAAATTACAACCCAACTTACGACTTTCGGCGATTACGATGAGTCGTAATTACAACTGCTACAAATATGACGCAGTAATCAGTCAAGCTTTAATCGTATTTTGACATCTTTAACATTTTTTTGTATTTTCACCTACATTTATCAAATATTTTTTTAATTTTTTTTTTAAAAATGTATAGTGAATGAAGCTCATTTTCAGTTTATGAAGCTGTTTAGAAGAAGTTATGCTAAAAACCTTGCATAAACTTAGTATGACGTCATTTAATTTTCAAATAAATCCTTAACTGTGATGAAATTAAAATAGCATCCCTTGATTCAACACTCAAATAAACGGAAACGAAAACAACTCGTTTGTAATTGGTTTTGTAATGGGCATGTAATGGGTAAGTGATCGGGTGAGTGTTGCCCACTTCAATTTGAAGTTTTCGAACTGCAATTAACAATTAACTAACGTTTGCAAATATTTAATTGTATAACCTTTACCAACATAGTGATAGGGATTGAAACTAGACCCCTACCATTACAAATTATAATTGAGCGGTTGATCGATATAAACCAACCCAAACCATTTTATATTTATCATTTATTGTAACATTTGGCATGCTAATGCAACAATTTGGCAGACGTTGAGCCATTGTTAAGTACATCCAAATCATTTGATAAGTACATATGAATATTGATATGAGGATATTGAGGGTTCGCAACGAATAGGAGTAACAAGTAAAATCAAACATTTGTTTAGCTTCAGGGCACAAGAAAATAATAGTTAAAATTGACTATCCCACCTTAACATTAGGGCCCTGTTTCACCGGTGATAGCAGCACGCAGTGTCCCAAAATCATATTTTTGCTTGGGTGTCAGGGGAGAATTGCTGACCAAAAAAAGGATGAGAGTGAAAAATTGTCGGTGAGGTAAGGTAAGGCCCAAAAAAGAGTGGGAAAATGATCAAAAACATTTATCTATCTACAATTATGACAGATGCAAAACAACCATTCACGCAATTGCTCCTTCTCGGTGGAATTGGGAGTGGAAAATTGGGCTTGAAAACTGGAGGTGATAGTGGAAAATGATTTTCATTTGGATGTCGTTTTCCACCCACATCTACAAATTTTGGGACACTGGCAGCACGCTACTATCAAATTGCGCGAGCTGACGTAATGTGATGACGTCACACTAACAACATTTTGTGTAATCCGTGAGTTTTTCATAGCTACGTTTGGAACAGAGTTGCTGTCTCGTTGAATGCGTTTGATACATTCGCACAGCTGTGAAGATGTTAGCAGCAATATTTGATGACATCACACAAATTGACGACGGCATGGTTTATTGATGTTTCCATGGAAACCCAATTTGATGTGTGTTAGCAGCGTGCTGCTATCACCGGTGAAACAGGGCCCAGGTTTGAGGTGAGATAGCGAGATTGAGGTCCCTCACCCTGGCACACAAAGGGAAAGGGGTCACGTCACATGAACATTTTTCCAATGTGTCATGTTGACCCATGAACCAATTTTTGAGAGGGTTTTAAACACCATTCGTCCAAAATAGGGGCATCATCATCAAAATAGGCACATTTCAATTTTCTCCCATTGACTTATAATGGAGAGGTCGCAAAATTGTCCTGACCTTAGGTCACCAATATCGAAATTCCAAGATATACCTACATTTTGTAGGTACATATTGTTACTCTTATAAGTCGCTGAAACGTTCAAGGCGATCGTTCAGTCGGTGTAGCTATGACGAGGATTGAAACTTTCTGAGGTTAGGTCACTTGACATGACCTGGTAACCTGACTAAGAGGCCTGGATCTGAAATTTTCACATGTGCGGAAAAGATGCATTAACAGGTGTGCCAAAAACGGTGGTGCTCCGCCCCGCCTTTTCGGGGATATCTGCGAAAAACCGCAGGGAGGTGTTCAAACACAAATTGTTAAAAGGGGTGTTCATACAAGTTGTTAAATTAGTTTCTTGGACAACAATGCATTAGAAAAGCAGTTTGGCATGGTACTACACTTGGATCACACAGCTCCTTGCGAAATCTGTGCAACACTGCACACTGTCTGTCTTCTGAGTGCCTCCACACCGGCAAGACCTTGTCGACTGTTGAGATTGTCATGTTTTGTAGTCTGGGTTGCTGTAGTGTAGGTTCCTTCCTCAGCTCATGTTTGTGGGATGCTTCCAAGTCCCAACTCTTGGGGGCAGTGCCATAGTATTTCAATTTGGACTGGGGGAGGGATCAGCCAGCTGATAAACCCAAAAGTAGGCACTGAATTCCACAGTATTTTCAAACAGTTACTTTACAGCAGGGGTCGGCAAATGGTGGGGCATGCCCCCTTTGGGGGTAATGGAGCCCCTCGGCGGGGGGTAATGGGGGCCTCTGAGAAAGCCTTATCTTAGAATTAATGTCTCCCTTGATGGGACAGACATCACGCCTGTTTGGTATCAGGGTTCAAAGATCGAACGCTAACCGTCGCCCCTCTATTGGCGTTTTCATAACAGCTAACGTAAACGGGGAGGGGCCGGTCGGACCCCAGCCTCTCGGCCTCTGAAATCTGAACTAGAGCTTTGCGGTAGAAAAATGAACGTGCTACCCGTGACGATAGGAAGACGCTGCTACCCAATTTTAACCTTCGCACTTATAGGGGACTCCCCCTTTTCTCGGGTTTTCGCGAATAACTCGCGCAAAAAGCGGCCGATCGCGATGACATTTTTAGTACAGGTTTATCAATTTTATACATTGTAGCTAGAATTTCGTAACCATTTGAACATATACCAAGTAATTTTGGTGCCTTCGTAACATGTTACGAAGCTGTCAGTGGTTGTTGATGCCTACTATAAATACCCGACAGGACGCCTATTGGTTGACCTGACCTGACCCGACCTGGCCTAAATGCACGAAGACATCTGTGATCAAAACTTAGATAAAATTCGTGATCAGTACCCCGACAAACTCCACAACATCCTCACTTTACGAAGTTCTGACAGGTCTCGATTTTCCGACTTTTTGGGTCATTGAGCCGACCTGGAAGGTCAATCAATGACCTAGGACCTTAAAATCGCGTATCATCAGCTTCCTCTCGTCACGGGCAACACGCTCGTTTTTTTCCGCGAAGCTCATGCTTGATCAGGGGCCGAACGACAAAGAGGGGTCCAACGAATTTCTCCCCCCATAAATTAGCGGCTGGCAAAACACCAATACGGGTGACGGTTAGCTTCCTTGGCCATTGGGTGACTTAAGACTTTCAAAGGGTCAATGACAATTGTGTAGTAGATCAGAACCCGCTGTACCTTCTAGAATTGAAATTTTATGACCTTCCATGATCTCAAGAAACAACTGCCTAACAAGTCAACAGTTATTTCTGTCAATGTATGACATGTTTTATGGCAGATAAAAAAAAAAAGATCGGCTCGAGGGTAAAATTGTGTCATGATCCGACGTTTTTACATTATAATACCCGAAATACCCAAAGAGTCACGGAAAGGTATGACATTTCAGTGAGCTCGGTTGTGTATGCAATGGTGTCTGGTAGGGTGGGGGTAATGGCCCTGCCTGGCGCCCGAAAAGGGGGCACGACCCCGGAGGGCCTGCCGACCACTGCTTTACAGCATCTGCACCTGGCTCCCTGGATATCGAGACTGGATGTTATGCATCCCTCTCAAAGTGTGCTAACTGATAGCCCCTGAAGTCTGGGCACCAAATCACACACAATTCATGAATCAGTAATCGCAGTGTGCTTCTTTCTTCAAGTGCCAAGTGGTTGATTGCATTATGTAGGTCCAAAGGTGTGTGCTGTGTAACTTGTATTTGTGCAGCAAAACGTGCAACAAAAATGTCACTCACCTCATAGCTGACAGACTACTGAACAATCGGCTCCCCTCCCAAACAGCTAGGTTGATGAGGTACAATGCCATTCATATGAGATAAGTGTTAACAGTTTTTAATGGACCGTTATCTAAAATACTGCCTGCCTGTTGCAGAATGATTGGTGACTGAGTTGACAGTGCCAAAGATGGACGACAGCAACACCAGCCAGCAGCGCAACAAAAAGGTACCGTCGCCTGATACCCTGCTCATCTTCACACGCAAACCTTGTAGGCTAGTGCACGGTGCATGCCAATATCGTAACGTGAAACAATCATAGTTGGAAAATTGTATGGAAGTGGAACTGCAGGTGCTGGGGCACCGCAGTCCGGCAAGCCCGACGCCCCAGCGGTGACCTTGGCCCCCATCGCGTCTGTTGCGGCCCCAAAGCCAAACCGGCGGTGAATTGTAAGAGTTGGAATGGACCAGTACAATGTTCTACCTATGGGAACAAGCATTATTCGCAGTATCCCTGGATTTTTTTTTTTATAGCAAAAATGACCGCTTACCAGCCAGTACCCATAGAGTTGGGTGTTTGAACGTCGTTTATGACTGCAGCGATCCTCTTTTCGGTCAGAGACCTCTCCTGTTTCGCACCATCAGGCACCATCCAAATTACTGTGCTAATAGCGCCACCATCCAGTATGTTGGTCGCGACGGATGGCTCGTTCTAGGTGGCGCCAACAGCATCGCCTCTCCACATTTCTTGTCGCTGGAAGGCCGTCACTGAAGGGCCTTTGGCTCCAGTCCGAAGCTGCGAAAAGCTTATACGGGATGTTGCTGTAAGTAGCTTTTCAGGCTTTCAACGTGAATAGGTCTCGAATCTGTGTTTTTGTAAGGGCTGAAATTTGTTCCAGGTGAGACAGCAATGCTGGCAATAATTTATTCTGCTTGTCTCGCTGGGCTAAAATCCCTACAATGCTTAATCCTCAGACGTTTTTTTTTTTAAGAAATATTTTCATTTTAATACCGGTGTAATTATGCTGCCAAATGGTATAACCTTTTTTAATTAAACACAATACACTTATACATACAATACACAATACACTGCCATTCGCTGAGAACACAAGGACGTTCTACACATACGTGTTTCGACTTGGGGGCTGGATTTAGCATTGACAGATCTATGTACTTGCTAACTTCCCTACACTCTGTCAGTGGCAGTGCCGAACAGTCTCATCAGTGACGCTCGTTCTGGACTTTCCTAAAATCCTAATCCGTTGTTTTTGCGTTGCCTTCCGATCTGACGCGGTATCTTCCGCTATGGGGCAGGGTGGCAGGCCTGGCGGCGCCTCCCGCCAGCACGTGCGTGGCCCCAGTTGTGAGTAATTTCCGTCGTGTGATTGAATCGTCCCGTACTCCTGTCCCGGACTGACAATATCGGCATCAGATAGCCGGAGACGGCCGCTTTTTCTTCGCCACGGCGCACTGTAGGCCGGCAGCCCGAAATAGCGCTAGAAATTCCCTTAAACTGACTGTCCGCAATATGAACAAAATAGGTATCATTTAATCCCGAATTGATCGAAGAATATGATTCCGATGCCAGTTTTTCCCTAATGTCAAAATTGAGGTCGTCAGTTGTCACCAAACACAAGACAATTTAGACTCTCTAGTGGCCACCACATTTACCGATTTTCATGATGATCTTTAGTGGTAATTTATTAGCTGACTAATCGTCGTTTTCAACGAAATTTCCTGTCAGACTAGTTCAGGGCACTGTTGTTCACTGTGCCAACATCATTCTCACATATTGCATCGCTTTTCTGCAAGATAAGCTAGCTTTTTGCAAGCAGCTGCAAGACGTAATTAAAAATCATATTTAGTTTTTTAATTAGACTTTTATAAAAATGTGATTTCGAGCGGCTAAAAATGAACATTTTATACTAGCCTCTGATTACTCATCTTTCGTTCCATATAGGTGCTTTGCTGCTTTTCCCTGCTACTTTTCGAGATATGCGCCAGTAAACCACATGATGTAGGGGCAATTGTCACCTCGCCGCTCTACTGAAGGCCCAGCGCTCTTTAAAGCGCTGGAAGTTGTGAAAAACAAACGCGTATAATCTGAATAAAATATATGTCCCTGAGCTCAAAATTGATCAACGCACACAATGCTGTCAAAAAATTTGGGCCAAACTAAAAAATTCAGTCATTATTAACCCCCAAACACAAGTCAGTGATAATCAACAACAACTTGCTCTTTAGTTAGACTTTTTGAGAAATGTTATTTCGAGCCGCTAAAAATGACCATGCCATACAAACCACTAATCATCTCTCTGTCATGCCCTACTCGCAATTTTAGCTAATGCCTGCTACTCTTCGAGGTCACGTGACCTCACCATTAAAAGTAAATTGGGAAATAAGGAAACTGTTGTTTTTGCGCATGGAATGATCTCAAACTATCTCAAGCACACGGAATCGTGATTTCATGCACTCCTTGCAAGATCCGATGCTTTACTTTTGCATTTTTGACCTTCCGTGACGTCATTTATGACGTCACTACGGTCATAGGAGTTTCTCGTCAATAACTCATGATCAAATTGAGCCAGCGACTCGGGAAAGCCACCAATGGACTAGGAAAGACCTACCGAATCGAATGATATGCAATACGACGTCCTTCGATTAAGTTCGTGGCCTGATGGGCTCTGACCTGACCTTGACTCGAGGTCAACACCTTAAGTTGACCTCGCCCGGACAAAAAGTATACCATTCGATGCGCCTGAGCCAGGCGAACACGATGGTGCCAAAATCGCTGCTCTGCGGCCATTTTTTGCGAAATTATTTACCAAAAACCAAACCCACCTTGGGCTTTTTGACTTCACCTCAGAGGTTACCGGTTGACATGGGACCTTAAAATCCGGTATCAATCGTTCCGTCTTGAAACGGCGCACACGCTTGTTTTTTCCGCGAGGCTCTAGCTCCATTAGGGGCGAAACGGCGAAAAGGGGTCGTACCAACCCTCCCCCTCGGCCGGTCGAGGGGGTGGAGGGTCCGACAATAGGTCCGGCGAGGGTTAACCCGCGCACCGACGGGGGTCTGCGCCAACTTAGTACCGACGGGGGGGGGGGGCGGATGACCGCCCCCCCTGAGATCTCAAGAACGAAGCAAGATAGCGACAAGCGGTAAACGGCATCGGATACGCACGGTCAAGATCTACAATTTTTACTAAGGTCATTTTCAGGTCAGGTCAAAGATGACGTCACAGGGGTCGAAAAAGTCAAAATGGCGGCGCTAAATATGGAGAGAGTTTTTCTCGAATAACTTTCGAAGTAGTCAAGATAGGAACAAACTAAGGGCATCATCGTGATCCTCTCGTCAATCCGCATCGAATGATATATATGTTGACCTCGAAAGGTCAAGGTCAAAGGTTGACCTCAGGTCACGTGACCTCGAGGTCATCATGGATATCATTCGATGCGTCTTGACGAGCTGAACACAATGAGACCATCCACGCGTCTGTATCTTGTTCCTGTACGGAGTTATTGGCCAAAAACCTTTGGTGACCTTTGATGACGTCACATGACCTCACAGCTGCCCAACAGCAAAACAGACCTCAAGGTAGTGAAGGTTGATCGTATATGAAGTCATGTATGGTATATGGGGCCATTCCGACCCGTTTTAGTGGTAAAAACAGGGAGTTGATTTTTCCCCCATTGACTTATAATGGGGAGGTCGCGAAATTGACCTGACCTTAGGTCACCGATATCAAAATTCCGAGATATACAAATTGTAGCTACTAATGACCTAATAACATCCTGCGACTTTCAAAGGCCTCCGACATCTACTGTAGCTCTGGCACGGTGACAAAGTTGCAAAAAAGTGACTTGAGGTTGGGTCATTCAAAGTGACCTGGTGACCTGACCTTGAAAGGTAGGAGGTTCAAACTTGCACACCATGTGTAAAATTGATAAGGGAATAGTCATACCAAATTTCGCGGCGCTACGCGCCGCGGTTTTCCCGCTATTCGCGAAAAACCTCAGGGGGGGGGGGGGCGGATATCCGCCCCCCCCCGTCGGTGCGCGGGTTAAGCAGCCCCACTTCGTTTTTAGCATGTTTGCTTGTCACTGAGATCAACAACTCAATCACAGATAATTTCTAGCACTTTTCCGGGCCCCCGGCCCAGTGTGCGGCGCTGCCGTCGTGTCACCTGTAGCCAGCGCTGGGGGACAACGACGGGAATCAGAGGAGCTTGGTTCATTAATTCAGTATTCTTAGAACCGGCGGACTCATCTGTTGCAGGATGTTGTTGAGATAATGTGTCGGTAGCAAGGCGTGTCATATTTGTGTTTTTGAATGATATTCGCTATTGATAATCTCGGAGTCTAGGGTGCTCACTGCTCACTCACCTTCCGCTTGAACTCAATGAGAGGAATGGGCGCAGCCCAAGAGCCCCTTCAGCACTGGCTGGTTGATGTTGAGTGTCTACTGTGAGGGCAATGGATTGATGTTAGTGCCATGTCAGTATGAAGAGAATACTTCAGTTGTGCTAGAGTTGTTCGGATATAGCGGAGACACGTATGTGACAGAGCAATAGCGCGGAAATTCAAATTTATTTACTTTCGGGTCACGTACTCCTTAGTGATTTGTGCTAGTGGCGCACTGTAACCAACGTCCTCAACCAATTCGTAAAAGACAAACACAAGCAGTTCTGCTCGAGCAGACGCAGTGGCTGTGGCTTTTGAGACTGTAAACGAGCCAAGTCCCGCATTAACTGGAAATTTATTGACAGAAGTCTTTGGCTGAAAGTCACGTATCCAACTTCCTCCGATCGCTCATTATACTGTATTATGGTCATTGGTCTGGCTAGTGGTATCATAAAATAAAGGATTCGCTCGCTCATAATTCTAGTATTAGGACCTCTCGCTAGTCGCTGGCAGCTGAATCTACATATCTGCCCAGTTCTCAATGGCATATTGAAATCGGCTTTGCCTTTTCTCAGTAGTTAATCCGAGCCAGGCATTTATGATCATACTGCAACAACCCGAACCGGACCCGGAAACTTTACGAGAACATGGATGATGCGAACGGCTTGCCAAATCAGGACAACTGCCCGTAAGTTAGCTGATGTTCGGCGCTTATTATCGGGTGATGATGTCAGAGTGGTGTAATTTTTAGAGGGGCAGACTAATCGGGCATTTTGTCGGTGAGTTGTGCTATCAGGATCTCACTCAAAAACGCTAGGATTCCTCC